CTCTGCCCTACAGACAAGATCGTCTACACCAACTTCTTCAGATTCCATATATATACGTTAATATACGATATTTGTTTTTCTCTTTCTGACTTACTTCACTCTGTATGACAGTCTCCAGGTCCATCCATGTCTCTACAAATGACCCAATTTCATTCCTTTTTATGGCTGAGAAATATTCCACTGTATATATGTACCACCTCTTCTTTATCCATTCATCTGTTGATGGACATTTACATTGCTTCCATGACCTGGTTATTGTAAATAGTGCTGCTATGAACATTGGGGTGCATGTGTCTTTTTGAATTATGGTTTTCTCTGGGTATATGCCCAGGAGTGGGATTTCTGGGTTGTATGGTAGTTCTATTTTTAGTTTTTTAAGGAATCTCCGTACTGTTCTCCACAGTGGCTGTATCAATCTACATTCTCACCAACACTGCAAGAGGGCTCCCTTTTCTCCACATCTTCTCCAACATTTATTGTTTGTATATTTTTTGATGATGGCTATTCTGACTGGTGTGAGGTGATATCTCATTGTAGTTTTGATTTGCATTTCTGTAATAATTAGTGATGTTGAGCATCTTTGCATGTGTTGGTTGGCCATCTGTATGTCTTCTTTGGAGAAATGTCTAGTTAGGTCTTCCACCCATCTTTTGATTGGGTTGTTTGTTTTTTTGATATTGAGTGGCATGAACTGTTTGTATATTTTGGAGATTAATCCTTTGTCTGTTGATTCATTTGCAAATATTTTCTCCCATTCTGAGGGTTGTCTTTTTGTCTTGTTTATGGTTTCCCTTGTTGTGCAAAAGTTTTTAAGTTTCATTAGGTCCCATTTGTTTATTTTTATTCTTATTCTCATCACCCTTGGAGGCGGGCCAAAAAAGATCTTGCTGCAATCTATGTCCAAGAGCGTTCTGCCTAGATTTTCCTCTAAGAGTTTTACAGTGTCTGGCCTTACATTTACATCTTTAATCCATAATTTTGGAAGTTCTAGCCATGGCAATCAGAGGAGAAAAATATATAAAAGGAATACAAATTGGCAAAGAAGAAGTAAAACTGTCACTGTTTGCAGATGACATGATACTATACATAGAAAATCCTAAAGATGCCACCAGAAAACTACTAGAGCTCATCAATGAATTTAGTAAAGTCGCAGGATACAAAACTAATACACAGAAATCACTTGCATTCCTATACAGTAACAACAAAAGATCAGAAGGAAAAATTAAGGAAACAATCCCATTTACCACTGCAACAAAAAGAATAAAATACCTAGGAATAAACCTACCGCAGAAAACTATAAGATACTGATGAAAGAAATCAAAGACGACACAAACAGATGGAGAAATACACCGTATTCTTGGATTGGAAGAATTGGTATTGTGAAAATGACTAGACTACCCAAAGCAATCTACAGAGTCAATGCAATCCCTATCAAATTATCAATGGCATTTTTCACAGAACTAGAATAAAAAATTTTACAATTTGTATGGAGACACAAAAGACCCCGAATATCAAAAGCAATCTTGAGAAACAAAAATGGAGCTGAAGGAATCGGGCTCCCTGACTTCAGACTATACTACAAAGCCACAGTAATCAAGACAGTATGGTACTGGCACAAAAACAGAAATATAGATCAATGGAACAGGATAGGAAGCCCAGAGATAAACCCACTTACCTATGGTCACCTAATCTATGACAAAGGAGGCTAGAATATACAATGGAGCAAAGATAGCCTCTTCAATAAGTGGTGCTGGGAAAACTGGACAGCTACATGTAAAAGAATGAAATTAGAACACTCCCTAACACCATACACAAAAATAAACTCAAAATGTGACAAACCTCAAGTGACAAAACTTGTCACTCATAAGTATATAGAAAATTTCACTACAAATATTTTGCAAAACTTCTTTCATATTAACCAAGGAATATATAAGCCCAACCATGACAAAGGTGCACAAATCAGACTTATTTTTTTATTTTAATAAAAATTCTTACATAGCTATAGTCTCCTATCTGGCTAGCAGGTTCAGGCATTTATTTTTGATTGTCATTATCTTTTTCTTGAGCTAAATGATTTATTTTACTACATCCTGAATATTTAGAGATTACGTATTTACTTTGGAGAATATCTAGAGATATGGCAATAAAAAAAGTAGGCAGTAAAGAGCCTTCATAAAATCCACAAACACAATGAGGAGTCCATCATAAGACAGGAAACCAGCTCTAAATCCTGGGCATTTAACTTTTTTAAAAAATTAATTTTTATTGCAGTATGGTTGCTTTACAATGTTGTATTATCCTCCACTGCACAACAAAATGAATCAGCCATACACATACAGCTATCCCCTCGCTTTTGGACTTCCCTCCCATTTAGGTTACCACAATGTTTTAGGTAGAGTTCCCTGAGCTATACAGTATGTTCCCATTTTATACATACTAACAATAATGTATATGTGTCAATCCCAGTCTCCCAATTCCTCCCACCTCACCCCTTTCACCCTTGGTATCCATACATTTGTTCTCTACTTGACTGTCATTATCTTAATGTAGAGCAGCACTGTCTAATATGGTAACCAGTGGTTATTTAAATTAAAATTAATTAAAATTTAAAATTTAGTTCCTCAGTCTCTCTGGGGACATTTCAAGTGCTTAACAGCCACATATGGCTACTTATAATGTATTAGATAGTACAGATGCAGAACATTTCCACCACTGCAGAAAACTGCATTAAACAGTGCTCAGATCTTTAGTGATACCGCAAGGAATATACTAAACTGCACGGACTGTGGCATTTGGTTTGCCCTGTTGCTTTGACATGTGGTACAAATGACCATTTCATGTGCCCTAAACTATGATGGTAGCTCAGGATGTGGGTTGAGAAACCTAACCCTGCAAAGACATTTGTCTCTGACTCTTACTTCTATGTTCTGACTTTAGTAAGTCATTTATTAAGTATTACCGTAGAGTGCCTTTGTTATTTCAAGAATATATGGTGATTTCTAATATGGTGATGATCAGGTCAGCTAATCCAGAACAAAAAGAGGGGGAATTTGAGGTCTTGGGCAGGGATCCTCTCTCAGCAACTTTACAGACTGGAATGAGCCTGAGATGCTGGGGAAGTCTCATCAGGGTTTAGGGCAGTGACTTCTGTCTTTCAGGCCTCTTGAAATTCTGATAAAGGAAATGGATCTCCTTGCCACTTAATTATGCACACCATTTCAGGTACTCATCACCCCCTTTGGAGCCCCAGGGGTGTCACAGGGAGTGTGGAGAGAGGACAGGTATTCTCCTGGGAATCAGAGCTACTCAGGAACCTTCAGCAAGGGGCGAGCTAGGACATGAGATGAGAAGTTTGCTTGACCAGGGCTCTGTCCACACACAGCGAAGTACAGTTCAGGGTCTGGGGTTGCTCAGTTAGTTTGCTTTTGTGGGGTGCATGTGGAGTCCTGCTTCCTTCAACATTCAAGGTCCCCTTCCTTAGAAATGGCATCCTAAAAGAAGGCCTCTGGTCTTACCAAGTACCGGACTTTCCCTATAGTACACGCGCCAAGGAATAAATATGAATATATTGAGAGACTGCTCACAAGCCTGTGCTTAATAATTTTAATGTTTTATCTTCAACATTACAGTAGTACAATTGAAGTCCGGTTGATAAAGCTTTAAAAGGTAGAAGTCTACCGGTTATAGGATAAGATGTTTCTTTAAATGTATGCTATTATCCTACCAGTGGCAGCAAATAAATTGCTTCCTCTTTATTCTGACTTTTTAGCTTGCTGAATCTGTACAGTAGTCAATAGTAGCTTAAAAGAATTAATATAGTTATAAAAAAGAAAAGCAATTTATATCCCATCTGACTGTTGGATTATCAAAGATAAAGCAAAATGATTCACCTATATTTTTATTATTTTCAAGATGAATTTTTTTCTAGTCTCTTTGACATTTCTAAAAGTTACTCATATGATTATTCAAACAGGTCAAAAAAATCTATGAATTCTTTTTATTGATAGAATTTTTATGTGCTAAAATTACTTAAAACACCAAAAATCGACTCACTTTTTATAAAGAAATATGGCATATTCTTTTACTCAGAAGGAATCGAGTTCTTAAGAACCTGCACTATGCTATCGTGAATGAATTGGTACATAGACAAACAAACACAAAATCCATCTAACTAATCAAATACAAACAAAACTCCAAATTAAAGTTTTTAAGAATAAAATGTGTAAATTAGTTATACTTGCTATAAATTTTTTCTCTTATGCACATTTTCACATAACAAATGCAAATTTTAAGAGAGATGATTAAAACCAGGATAATAATTCTCCAGGATAATAATTCTCTTCATTCTCCTAAAAAAATTATGACAAAACTTAATAACAAGGGTATCTTCAGATTTCTCTTGCCAAACAATTTTTAATAATTCTAAGTTCAATAACTGGATATCATGTGACTTCTCAAGATTTCAAAATGTTTGATAATTATATGAAAACATTTAAAGACATACTAGAAATAATGCAAACAATTCTTTCAGTTTTTCCATAAAAGAAGGAAAAGGTTAATTTTAATGAATTTCTGAGCTATTTACTTTGATGAATTCTACACTTTGATCATTTTTATTTTTTAATATAAATTTATTTGTTACTAATTATAAACAATCCTGAGGTTCACCCTTCAGATACTACTGTGGGACTTTTTTATTACATGGATCAATTGCTAAATTTAAAATGATATTTGGGAAAGCCTTTTATGTTCCTTAACCTGATGTGATGCTCACACATGTGCAACTGCTTTTCTTTCTTCAGGCAGAGAAGCCCTTTTAGCTGATAAATATCACCCAAAGCAAAGTCCTTGATAACAAAAAATAATTAAATAGCAGAAGCTGGTTAGAGATCAGCATTCATTTTTCAAATTAAATGTAAAAGCCTTCTTCAGTTAAGAGATTGGCAAGTTTTTACAAATAACATCAGTGAGCCTTTTAGAAAGAAACAGCCACATTAAAATGGAGTCATTAGGCAATACATTTATTTTGAAACCAATTAACCTTTTGTCAGAAAAATGTCAGTGCTGTAATGGTCTCAGCAGCCGAGGTCAGCCTCTAACAGGGCACGTATGACAGCCACTGTGCTGGGTGACATGTACTGCAGACAGAGAGGAGAGGGCAGCAGTGAGAACCGGCCTTCTTTTGTATTCCACACTGCATTTCCAGGGAGCAGACAATCTTGACCTATCCATTCAGGTAATTAAAGCTTCCATTTGGAAGTGTCCTGCAGGAAGGTGAAATTTGGGGGAGATAAATGGCTGTTGTTCTTTGTATCCAGCCACCAGTTCCATAATTTGATGGACTGCCTGAAACAGGCTGGGACGCCAGGTTCTCATAAAAATAGAGATGAATTGGTCAGCACACAATTCTCTAAGGCAAAGCAACTCTGTCATTTTCTTTTTTGCAGGCTATAATTTAATTGTTAGTCAAGGCGGACAGCTGACACAGGGGGGCTTTCTCTCAGAGCTTACCTACCATCTTCCATTCACTAAGAAATCACTCTAGCTTATTTACTTATCAGCCAAGTTTGTTTGACATTGGGAAATGTCACTTCCACAGGGAGCACAGCTGGTTCTCCCAGCTGTGCCCTGACTTACCTTCCACGCTATTTTGTTTCCTTTCGAATCATGTTCAAGGGCAATTGGGAAGTCCCCTCGTTCATAAAATTTTCGAAACGCTGTGGGCTTCGTTGGTCTTTCTTTAAATGCTCCTGCAGTTGGAGGGCCTCTCACCTTTAAAGAAAAAAAAAATAGGAATCAGGTTTTAAAACACATTGGAAAATGCATAGTGAAAAGACTTTGGCTTTTATGTTTCATTTTGTATAAAATGTTCTGGAAGACAAACTAAATTATCTTAATAATAAACAACCAAAATCTCACTAATACAAACATTTGGAGAAGAAAATTATTTTATAATAACTGTTAAGGATTTACTTTATTTCAAGCTACTTTACAAAGCATTCCTAGAAAATGTCACTTTAAAATATCACTTTATAAGGAAGAAAAGCCTGAACTTTTGTTTAAGGAAAACATTTTAAGAGAAGCAACTAAGTTCAGAGTGTTAAAACTTTTAAGATTCTTAATAATTGCAAATTCTAATCTCAGGTCTGATATACTTTGTAGAATACTCCAGAAATAAATTTCAAATATGTCCTTCAAATCTTTCTATATAAATAAAATGTTAGGATATGTTCTCATATCCTAAGTATTAACAATAAAACCATAAAAATGTGATATAAAATTAAGTGATGATAAATGAGAGAGTTTAAGAAGAAAAATGGTGGCCTACTGTGCATAGCATACATTTCGTAACATGAATTTATGAGAAAGAAACATTAGAAGAGATTATATGAGAATCTTTCACCTGCCAAATTATGAGTTTTATGAAAGAAGAAACATTTCATATTGAGTTATTCACATTGACTACAACTTTTAAATCTGCAATATTTACACATGAACTAATTCATTATGTTACAAAATTCAGTGATTAGTGAATGACTATCATTCGATAATGATAGTCAGCTGTATTGTTCCTTATTCCTAAACATTATTATCTTCACCTGTTTGTAAAAAAGGTAAATATTAGTCATCCATTAGTTTAATAAAAACAATTATTTTTTTAATTCTTAAATAGACAAGAGAGCAAATAATTTACCTACTATCTTAATATTTTAAGTTATTTGATGCCATATTAATTTTTAATATCTGTGTGAAAAATAATTTTAACAAAGTATATATAAAATATATCTAATATAACAGATATATTATATAATGCCAAATACATTTTATCTGAAGCACATATAAAGACTAATATTAGAAACTGAGGGAGCTTCCAGGAAGATGGCAGAAGACATCACGTTCCTCCCCACAGATACACCAGAAATACACCTACACATGGAACAAATCCTACAGAACACCTACTGAAAGCTGGCAGAAGACTTCAGACCTCCCAAAAGGCAAGAAAACCCCCATGTACCTGGGTAGGGCAAAAGAAAAAATAAACAGAGACAAAAGGATAGGGACGGGACCTGCACCAGTGGGAGGAAGCTGTGAAGCAGGAAATGTTTCCACACACTAGGAGCCCCTTCACGGGCGGAGACTGTGGGTGACGGAGTCGGGGAAGCTTCGGGGCCGCGGAGCAGAGCACAGCAACAGGGGTGCGGAGGGCAAAGCAGAGAGAATCCTGCAGAGGATCACGGCTGACCAGCACTCACCAGCCCGAGTGGCTTCTCTGCTCACCCGCCGGGGTGGGCGGGGCTGGGAGTTGAGGCTCGGGCTTCGGTCGGAGCACAGGGAGAGGCCTGGCGGCGTGAACACAGCCTGAAGGGGGTTAGTGCACGACGGCTGGCCGGGAGGGAGTCCGGGGAAAAGTCTGGAGCTGCCGAAGAGGCAAGAGACTTTTTCTTCCCTTTTTGTTGAGGAGAGGGGATTCAGAGCGCTGCTTAAAGGAGCTCCAGAGACTGGCGCGAGCCGCGGCTAAAAGCACGGACCACAGACACGGGCATGAGATGCTAAGGCTGCTGCTGGCGCCACCAAGAAGCCTGTGTGCAAGCACAGGTCACTCTCCACACCTCCCTTCCAGGGAACCTGTGCAGCCTGCCACTGCCAGGGTCCCGGGATCCAGGAACAACTTCCCAGGGAGAATGCACGGCGCGCCTCAGGCTGGTGCAACGTCACGCCGCCTCTGACGCCGCAGGCTCGGCCCTCACTCCGTGCTCCTCCCTCCCCCCGGCCTGAGGGAGCCGGAGCCACCGAATCAGCAGCTCCTTTAACCCCATCCTGTCTGAGCGAAGAACAAACGCCCTCCTGCGACCTACACGCAGAGGCGGGGCCAAATCCAAAGCTGAGCCCCTGGGAGCTGTGAGAACAAAGAAGAGAAAGGGAAATCTCTCCCAGCAGCCTCAGAAGCAGCAGATTAAAGCTCCACGATCAACTTGATGGCTGTGGAATACCTGAATAGACAACGAATCATCCCAAACTGAGGAGGTGGACTTTAAGAGCAAGATTTATGCAGTATAGCTTTGCTTCCACTTGTCCTAGGCTTCTATCCATCCGTTTTTTTGTTTGTTTTTGTTTGTTTTTTTAATTTTTTCTTTATTTTTCCTTATTAATTATTTTTTATTTTAATAACTTTATTATATTTTATCTTACTTAATTTTATTTTACTTTATCTTCTTTCTTTCTTTTTTTCCTTCCTTCCTTCCTCCCTCCCTCCCTCCCTTCTTTCTTTCTTTCTTTCTCTCTTTCTTTTGTTCTTTCTTTCTACTTCTACTAATTCTTTCTTTCTACTTTTTCTCCCTTTTATTCTGAGCCGTGTGGATGAAAGGCTCTTGGTGCTGCAGCCAGGAATCAGTGCTGTGCCTCTGAGATGTGAGAGCCAACGTCAGGACACTGGTCCACAAGAGACCTCCCAGCTCCACATAATATCAAACGGCGAAAATCTCCCAGAGATCTCCATCTCAACACCAGCACCCAGCTTCACTCAACGACCAGCAAGCTACAGTGCTGGACATCTTATGCCAAACAACTAGCAAGACAGGAACACAACCCCACTCATTAGCAGAGAGGCTGCCTAAAATCATAATAAGTCCACAGACACCCCAAAACACACCACCAGACGTGGACCTGCCCACCAGAAAGACAAGATCCAGCCTCATCCACCAGAACACAGGCACTAGTCCCCTCCACCAGGAAGCCGACACAACCCACTGAACCAACCTTAGCCACTGGGGAGAGACACCAAAAACAATGGGAACTACGAGCCTGCAGCCTGCAAAAAGGAGACTGCAAAAACAGTAAGATAAGCAAAATGAGAAGACAGAAAAACACACAGCAGATGAAGGAGCAAGATAAAAATCCACCAGACCTAACAAATGAAGAGGAAATAGGCAGTCTACCTGAAAAAGAATTCAGAATAATGATAGTAAAGATGATCCAAAATCTTGGAAATAGAATGGACAAAATGCAAGAAACATTTAACAAGGACCTAGAAGAATTAAAGATGAAACAAACAACAATGAACAACACAATAAATGAAATTAAAAATACTCTAGATGGGATCAGTAGCAGAATAACTGAGGCAGAAGAACGGATAAGTGACCTGGAAGATAAAATAGTGGAAATAACTACTGCAGAGCAGAATAAAGAAAAAAGAATGAAAAGAACTGAGGACAGTCTCAGAGAACTCTGGGACAATATTAAACGCACCGACATTCGAATTATAGGGCTTCCAGAGAAGAAGAGAAAAAGAAAGGGACAGAGAAGATATTTGAAGACATTATAGTTGAAAACTTCCCTAATATGGGAAAGGAAATAGTTAATCAAGTCCAGGAAGCACAGAGAGTCCCATACAGGATAAATCCAAGGAGAAATACGCCAAGACACATATTAATCAAACAATCAAAAATTAAATACAAAGAAAATATGTTAAAAGCAGCAAGGGAAAACAAGGGAATCCCCATAAGGTTAACAGCTGATCTTTTAGCAGAAACTCTGGAAGCCAGAAGGGACTGGCAGGACATACTGAAAGTGATGAAGGAGAAAAACCTGCAACCAAGATTACTCTACCCAGCAAGGATCTCATTCAGATTTGATGGAGAAATTAAAACCTCTACAGACAAGCAAAAGCTGAGAGAGTTCAGCACCAGCAAACCAGCTTTACAACAACGGCTAAAGGAAATTCCCTAGGCAAGAAGCACAAGAGAAGGAAAAGACCTACAATAATGAACCCAAAACAATTAAGAAAATGGGAATAGGAACATACATATCGATAATTACCTTAAATGTAAATGGACTAAATGCTCCCACCAAAAGACACAGATTGGCTGAATGGATACAAAAACAAGACCCATATATTTGCTGTCTACAAGAGACCCACTTCAGACCTAGAAACACATACAGACTTAAAGTAAGGGGATGGAAAAAGATATTTCAGGAAAATGGAAACCAAAAGAAAGCTGGAGTAGCAATTCTCATATCAGACAAAATAGACTTTAAAATAAGGACTATCAGAAGAGACAAAGAAGGACACTACATAATGATTAAGGGATCGATCCAAGAAGAAGATATAACAATTGTAAATATTTATGCACCCAACATAGGAGCACCTCAATACATAAGGCAAATACTAACAGCCATAAAAGGGGAAATTGACAGTAACACATTCATAGCAGGGACTTTAACACCCCACTTTCACCAATGGACAGATCATCCAAAATGAAAAAAAATAAGGAAACACAAGCTTTAAATTATACATTAAACAAGATGGACTTAATTGATATTTATAGGACAATCCATCCAAAAACAACACAATACACATTTTTTTTTTTTTTTCTTGCGTTATGCGGACCTCTCACTGTTGTGGCCTCTCCCATTTGCGGAGCACAGGCTCCGGACGCGCAGGCTCAGTGGCCATGGCTCACGGGCCCAGCCGCTCCGCGGCATGTGGGATCTTCCCGAAACGGGGCACGAACCCGCGTCTCCTGCATCGGCAGGCGGACTCTCAAGCACTGCGCCACCAGGGAAGCCCAATACACATTTTTGTCAAGTGCTCATGTAACATTCCCCAGGATAGATCATATCATGGGTCACAAGTCAAGCCTTTGTAAATTTAAGAAAATTGAAATTGTTTCAAGTATCTTTTCCAACAACAACGCTATGCGACTAGATATCAATTACAGGAAAAGATCTGTAAAAAATACAAACACATGGAGGCTAAACAATGCACTACTTAA